GGAGACTAAAGAGACATGACAACTAGATGCAATGCATGATCCTGGACTGGATGATGGATCAGAATTTTTAAAAATAACTATGAAAGACATATTTTAGATAAATGATAAACTTGAATATGAATTATGGATTTGACAGTAATATTGAATCAATGTTAAAATTCCTGATTTTGAGAAAAGAGAATCATATATTATTGGTAGGAATGTAAATTGCTATAGCCATTATGAGAAACAGTATGGAGGTTCTTCAAAAAATTAAAAATAGAACTCCCATATGATCCAGCAATCTCACCTCTGGGTATACATCTAAAGGAAATGAAATCAGGATCTCAAAGAGATATCTTGCCCTCTCATGTTTTTAGCATTATTCACAATAGCCAATATATGGAAACAACCTAAGTGTCCATGTATGGATGAATGCATAAACAAGATATAGTGTGTGTGTGTGTGTGTGTGTACACACACACACACCAGAACATTATTCAGCCATGAGAACGAAGGAAATCTTACCACTTATGACAACGTGGATGAACCTGGAGGACATCATGCTAAGTGAAATAAGCCAGAGAGAGAAAGAGAAGTATTATATGATCTCATATATAGAATCTAAAAAAATTAAAAAGTGAAATTCACAGAAGCAGAGAATAGAATGTTATTTACCAATGGCTAGGGGAAACAGCAAGATATTGGTCAAAGGGTACAAAGTTGCAGTTATGTAGGATGAATAAGTCTAGGGATCTAATGTACAGGCATGATGACTACAGTTAATAACACTGTACTGAATACTGGAAGTATGCTAAGAGAGTAAACCTCAGGTGTTTTCATCACACACACATAGAGAAAAGGTGACTATGAGAGGAGATGTTATATTAGTTAGCTTGACTAATCATTTCACTATGTATATATACATCAAATCATCATATTATATACCTTAAATATACATTTACAATTTTTATATTAAAAGAAATATGTATACACACACATATCTACACACATACACACACACATGCATGCCCTGTAGGAACTCTTGAGCCCAGGGTTCTGAAAAAAAAAGAATTTCAAAAGAATTCATGACACCAAAAAAAAAAAATTTACCCATTTTGATAACTGCAGTATAGTAACACATTGAAGTATTAAGTAGTAAAGGGACATGATGTCTATAACTTTTAGTTCAAAAGTAATAATAAAATAATTCCAAAAAACTTATTTATATGTAGTATGTATGTATTTATGAGTAAATAGAGAAAGAATGCTAAAACGAATGTAAAAAAAAAACTGGTGTAACTAGACAAAGGCCATCCAGAAGCGTCTTGTACTATTCTTGAAACTTTACACGTCACACACACACATAAAACCATGATAAATATGGGAGGTGAGGGATAAATTAACTAGTTTTACTGTGATAATCATTTCACAAGATATATACCAAACACCAAAACATCACATTGTATACCTTAAATATATATAATTTTTATTTGTCAAAAATAATAGAAATAGGGCTTCCCTGGTGGCACAGTGGTTGAGAGTCCGCCTGCCAATGCAGGCAACACGGGTTTGTGCCCCGGTCCGGGAAGATCCCACATGCCACAAAGCAGCTGGGCCCGTGAGCCATGGCCGCTGAGCCTGCACGTCCGGAGCCTGTGCTCCGCAACGGGAGAGGCCACAACAGTGAGAGGCCTGCGTACCGCAAAAAAAAAAAAAAGAAATAAAAATTATACCAAAATTAAAAACTCACCCTTGGGACTTCCCTACTGGCGCAGTGGTTAAGAATCTGCCTGCCAGTGCTGGGGACACGGGTTCGAGCCCTGGTCCGGGAGGATCCCGCGTGCCACGGAGCAACTAAGCCCGTGCGCCACAACTACTGAGCCTGCACTCTAGAGCCCGCGAGCCACAACTATTGAAGCCCCTGCTGTGCAAGAGAAACCACTGCAGTGAGAAACCTGCGCACTGCAACAAATAGCCCCCGCTCGCCGCAGCTAGAGAAAACCCGTGTGCTCCAGCAGAGACCCAATGCAGCCAAAAATAAAAATAAATAAATTTATTAAAAAACAAACAAACAAACAAAAACTCACCCTCTCTGCCTCCCTCCCAAAAAACTATGTAAGTAGAAGCCAAAGAATTGCCTTGATTATATTAGACATTCAACAGTACATTCCTGAGAAAGACGAAACAAAACAGAAAACAGGCAAAGGGTAACATTTTAAAGCACTATTCATTTTATACTTCAAGGTACCATGTAGCTTTGATTTAAAAAGTAACTATCTTGGGGGCTTTCCTGGTGGCGCAGTGGTTGGGAGTCCACCTGCCGAGGCAGAGGACGCGGGTTTGTGCCCCAGTCCAGGAGGATCCCGCATGCTGTGGAGCGGCTGGGCCCGTGAGCTGTGGCCGCTGGGCCTGCGCGTCCGGAGCCTGTGCTCCATGGCAGGAGAGGCCGCAGCGGTGAGAGGCCCGCGTACCGCAAAAAAAAAAAAAAAAAAGTAACTATCTTGGGCTTCCCTGGTGACGGAGTGGTTAAGAATCATCTGCCAATGTAGGGGACACGGGTTCGAGCCCTGGTCCAGGAAGATCCCACATGCCATAGAGCAACTATGCGCATGTGCCACAACTACTGAGCCTGTGCTCTAGAGCCCGTGAGACACAACTACTGAGCCCACACACCACAACTGCTGAAGCCCGCACACCTAGAGACCATGTTCCTCAACAAGAGAAGCCACTGCAATGAGAAGCCCACACACAGCAACAAAGAGTAGCCCTGCTCGCCACAACTAGAGAAAGCCCGCGCTCAGCAGCAAAGACCCAACACAGCCAAAAATACAATAAAATTTTAAAATAATAAATTTAAAATAAATAAATATCTTTACTTGAATTTTCCATACACTTAAGTTTACATGCTTTTTTTAATACACATAATGTCAGCTATAGAACAGATAGCAGAGTGATTAGGGGTGGGGATCTGGACTCATATAAGCATAGGTCCAAATCCTGGCAACACCATTCATTAGCTGGCTAATCTTAGAAAAGTTACTAAGCCTCTCTGTGCCTGAATTTTCTCTTTTTTAAAATACAGACAATAATAGTTCCTAATTCTTAAAATTCTTATGAAGATTTCAAAGGGCAATACCTGAAAAGAACTTAACACACTCAGCATGAGAGTCGTTATTATTTCATCATTTTTAGAACAAATATCAAAAGAAAATGGTTCTTTTAACCTAAAAGATAATGAACCAAATACCAAATCTCTTGAGATTGAGATTATGATCTGCCCCATACCAATCAAAAACAAGGCGGAAAAAAAGCTATGAGTCAAAGGGACCAGCTCAGAATGTTTAAACTAAAAATTAAAACGTAAATGAAACGTTAAAATTCCTGTTTACAACTAGATTATGATGTTAACATATTTTTAGAACAATGTATTAAAGAATCATTTTTACTTGAAAGTATCTTTGTCCAATGAAGATGTTGAAAAAAAAGAAAGAAAAAAAAAAAAAAAAGAAAGTATCTTTGGTTCTGCTTAGTCTACTCAAGTTTTATAAGTTCAATAGGTAAGATTCAGATATTTTTAAAAACATCCTTAATGCCTGTTTGGGTTTCCCTAAGGAAGAACTACCTAACTACATGGACTGTGCATTTGTAAGAGTCATAGTTAACGTAATTTTACTTAGTAATTAAAGTATTGAAGGTAAGAAATCATAAATTCTGTCATTTATCAGAAGTTATCAACTCAAACACCTACATAAGCCAGGCATCAGAAACAGTCAAGTATAAGTCAATAAGGAAGAACTGAGACCACAGCGGCTGGACCTGAAGAGTAAGGACTCACTTAAAGGCATGCAGTTTCAAGTCTTGTTTCTGTTTTTTTTAAATATCGTGCCACAGGGAGATCAGCTCGGTGCATGCTTTGTGACCACCTAGAGGGGTGGGATAGGGAAGGTGGGAGGGGGACGCAAGAGAGAGGGGACATGGGGATGTATGTATATGTATAGCTGATTCACTTTGTTATACAGCAGAAACTAACACACCATTGTAAAGCAATTATACTCCAATAAAGATGTTAATAAATAAATAAATAAATAAATATCATGCCATTTGTGTTCAGGCTGAGTTCAGCTCAGAGATGCACCTGTTTTTACCAGTGAATTTCAGAGTTTAAGTCCTTACGACCTTTATGGTATATATCTGTATGCAAACTTGACATTTTATAAAAGATATTAATAAAAAGGAATGTTTCTGAGAATGAATACTCATGCACATCAAAAACATCAGGAAATGTTTCAATGATTTCCAAAAGGCAGTTGTATCATTAGAGCTATCCTAACTTGGTTATCTCTCCCTCTTTGTACTCATAATTAAGATATACTTTTATATGTCATAACACATAAATCTTTAAGATTCCTTACAACTCTGACATTTTAAGATTCCATCACTGGTGGAACAAAATTCCTTCATACTGGTAATAAATATGTAACAATGTAATAACTGCCGCCAAAGTCCAAAGTAATCTGTTCTTCCACTGGATACCCTAGCATTCGCATTATTATTGTTTTATACTGTTACTCTATTTTTGATACGTTTTATATTCTATAAGGTACTTTACATAATGGCAGAAAGCATGTCATTCATATTTTACCCCTATCAACAAGCATTTTGTACTTTCATAGAAAGTGCTCATTAAAAAAAAAACCTTCCATTTCTCAAGATAATAATATGATCTCAAGTTAAACTCTTTCAAATTCTGAAATGAATTGAGTTTTTACACGACTGAAATTACAATTATGCTTTTAAAAATGCTCTACAATTCAGAGAAGTTCTCAGTATCAGTAGCTGATTATGTTAACATATAAGCAATATTTTTAGAAAAATGCTGCAATAACTTTATAATCTTTTGATTTGAGAAAATAAAACTTTAAGGATGTTATTTAAGCCTAAAGCTTAGTTTTAAACATTAATTTGAGAGAAAGATAATATGTTATTGGAAAATATTATTTACAATCATTCGGTCTTACCTGAGGATTCCAACTTGGATCTAATTTTTTAACTACAGCAATATACTCCTGCATTGCTCGGCTGGGGCTTGAATCACCAAGTGCTTTCCATGCTTCCCTAAAGTAGAGAATACCCAAAATGACCTATCATTAACTATGTAAGGAACACAAAACAGTATATTTCTTCTTTTTATTATTAAAAAAAGGCACACACATTTTAAGGGTCAGGAGATACAGATATAATAAGCCATATATGAGTAGCCTTCTCTTTTTGCATTTCATTGGTCCACAGCAATATAGACCTTATCACCCCACCTAAGAAGCCCTTTTAGACATTTTTTCCCTAATCACCCTCCCCCATGAAATTTTAAATTTACACGTATATTGCACATCTGCTGAATTTTGGAAGATGACACACTATTGTACTATCTAAGATTTTTTTTATTTTTTATTTTTTTTTACTATCTAAGATTTTAAAACTCCCCCAAACCCAAATTTCAAACCCCTGTTGAGAATGTATGGTCTACAAATAGGAGTAGTTCCCATCTTATGAATTAACTATGTTTGTGTCATTTCAGTAATATGTTAACCGTCACACAAAACAATATTCTGTGGGAAATGCTTCAAACTTCTCATTTTAAGATGTGAGAAATATACCTCCCCTTCTGCTGTTATCTCATCTCTAAGCTGCTAGTAGTAGATACTGAGGCTTTGGGCAGGGACATCAAAAGCAAAGGGAGGGATTTTTGGTTCTAGACGGCAGAGTAGAAGGACGTGCTCTCACTCCCTCTTGCGAGAGCACCAGAATCACAACCAACTGCTGAACAATCATCAAGAGGAAGACAATGGAACTCACCTAAAAAGACACCCCCACATGCAAAGACAAAGGAGAAGCCACAGTGAGACGGTAGGAAGGACGCAATCACAATACAATCAAATCCCATAAGTGCTGGGTGGCTGACTCGCAAACTGGAGAACAATTATACCACAGAAAGAAGTCCACCCACTGGAGTGAAGGTTCTGAGCCCCACGTCAGGCTTCCCAACCTGGGCGTCCGGCAATGGGAGGAGGAATTCCCAGAGAATCAGACTTTGAGGGCTAGTGGGATTTGATTTCAGGACTTCAACAGGACTGGGGGAAACAGAGACTCCACTCTTGGAGGGCACACACAAAGCAGTGTGCACAGCGGGACCCAGGGGAAGGAGCAGTGACCCCACAGGAGACTGAACCAGACCTACCTGCTAGTGTTGGAGGGTCTCCTGCAGAGGCGGGGGGTGACTGTGTCTCACTGTGAGGACAAGGACATTGGCAGCAGAAGTTCTGGGAAGTACTTGACGTGAGCCCTCCCAGAGTCTGCCATTAGCCCCACCAAAGAGCCCGGGTAGGCTCCAGTGTTGGGTCGCCTCAGGCCAACCAACCAACAGGGAGGGAATCCAGCCCCACCCATCAGCAGACAAGCACATTAAAGTTTTACTGAGCTCTGCCCACCAGAGCAACAGCCAGCTCTACCCACCACCATTCCCTCCATATCAGGAGACGTGCACAAGCCTCTCAGATAGCCTCATCCACCAGAGGGCAGACAGCAGAAGCAGGAACTACAATCCTGCAGCCTGTGGAACAAAAACCACATTCACAGAAAGATAGACAAGATGAAAAGGCAGAGGGCTATGTACCAGATGAAGGAACAAGATAAAATGCCAGAAAAACAACTAAATGAAGTGGAGATAGGCAACCTTCCAGAAAAATAATTCAGAATAATGATAGTGAAGATGATACAGGACCTCGGAAAAAGAATGGAGGCAAAGATCGAGAAGATGCAAGAAATGTTTGACAAAGACCTAAAAGAATTAAAGAACAAACAAACAGAGATGAACAATACAATAAGTGAAATGAAAAATACACTAGAAGGAATCAATAGCAGAATAACTGAGGCAGAAGAACGGACAAGTGACCTGGAAGACAGAATGGTGGAATTCACTGCTGCGGAACAGAATAAAGAAAAAAGAATGAAAAGAAATGAAGGCAGCCTAAGAGACCTCTGGGACAACATTAAACGCAACAACATTCGCATTATAGAGGTCCCAGAAGGAGAAGAGAGAGTGAAAGGAAAATATGTGAAGAGATTATAGTCAAAAACTTCCCTAACATGGGAAAGGAAAGAGCCACCCAAGTCCAGGAAGCACACAGAGTCCCATACAGGATAAACCCAAGGAGAAACATGCAGAGACACATAGTAATCAAACTGGCAAAAATTAAAGACAAGGAAAAACTATTGAAAGCAGCAAGGGAAAAATGACAAATAACATACAAGGGAACTCCCATAAGGTTAACATCTGATTTCTCAGCAGAAACTCTACAAGCCAGAAGGGAGTGGCATGACATATTTAAAGTGATGAAAGGGAAGAACCTACAACCAAGATTACTCTACCCGGCAAGGATTTCATTCAGATTCAATGGAAAAATCAAAAGCTTTGCATACAAGCAAAAGCTAAGAGAATTCAGCACCACCAAACCAGCTCTACAACAAATGGTAAAGGAACTTCTCTAAGCAGGAAACACAAAAGAAGAAAAGGACCTACAAAGACAAACCCAAGGGCTTCCCTGGTGGTGCAGTGGTTGACAGTCTGCCTGCCGATGCAGGGGACACGGGTTCGTGCCCCAGTCCAGGAAGATCCCACATGCCGTGGAGCAGCTGGGCCCGTGAGCCATGGCCGCTGAGCCTGCGCATCCGGAGCCTGCGCTCTGCAACAGGAGAGGCCACAACAGTGAGAGGCCCATGTACCGCAAAAAAAAAAAAAAACAAAAAACCCAAAGCAATTAAGAAAATGGTCACAGGAACATACATATCGATAACTACCTTAAATGTAAATAGATTATATGTTCCAACCAAAAGACACAGGCTGGTTGAATGGATACAAAAACAAGACCCATATATATGCTGTCTACAAGAGACCCACTTCAGACCTAGGGACACATACATACTGAAAGTGAGGGGACGGAAAAAGATATTCCATGCAAATGGAAATCAAAAGAAAGCTGGAGTAGCAATTCTCATGAGATAAAATAGACTTTAAAATAAAGAATGTTACAAGAGACAAGGAAGGACACTACATAATGATCAAGGGATCAATCCAAGAAGAAGATAAAACAATTATAAATATATATGCACCCAAAATAGGAGCACCTCAATACACAAGGCAACGGCTAACAGCTATAAAAGAGGAAATCGACAGTAACACAGTAACAGTGGGAGACTTTAACACCTCACTTACACCAATAGACAGATCATCCAAACAGAGAATTAATAAGGAAACACAAGCTTTAAATGACACAATAGACCAGAAAGATTTAATTGATATTTATAGGACATTCCATCCAAAACAGCAGATTACACTTTCTTCTCAAGTGCACACAGAACATTCTCCAGGATAGATCATATCTTGGGTCACAAATCAAGCCTCAGTAATTTAAGAAAATTGAAATCATATCAAGCATCTTTTCTGACCACAACACTATGAGATTAGAAATCAATTACAGGGAAAAAAACGTAAAAAACACACACATGGAGGCTAAACAATACGTTACTAAATAACCAACAGATCACTGAAGAAATCAAACAGGAAATAAAAAACTACCTAAAGACAAATGACAATGAAAACACAATGATCCAAAACCTATGGGATGCAGCAAAAGCAGTTCTAAGAGGGAAGTTTATAGCAATACAATCCTACCTCAAGAAACAACAAACATCTCAAATAAACAATCTAACTCTACACTTAAAACAACCAGAGAAAGAAGAACAAACAAAACCCAAACTTAGTGGAAGGAAAGAAATCATAATGATCAGAGCAGAAATAAATAAAATAGAAACAAAGAAAACAACAGCAAAGATCAATAAAACTAAAAGCTGGTTCTTTGAGAAGAGAAACAAAATTGATAAACCACTAGCCAGACTCACCAAGAAAAAGCAGGAGAGGACTCAAATCAATAAAATTAGAAATGAAAAAAGGAGAAGTTACAACAGACACCACAGAAATGCAAAGCATCCTAAGAGACTACTACAAGCAACTCTATGCCAGTAAAATGGACAACCTGGAAGAAATAGACAAATTCTTAGAAAAGAATAACCTTCCAAGACTGAAGCAAGAAGAAACAGAAAATATGAACAGACCAATCACAAGTAATGAAATTGAAACTGTGATTAAAAATCTTCCAACAAACAAAAGTCCAGGACAGATGGCTTCACAGGTGAATTCTATCAAACATTTAGAGAAGAGCTAACACCCATCCTTCTCAAACTCTTCCAAAATTCTGCAGAGGAAGGAAAACTCCCAAACTCATTCTATGAGGCCACCATCACCCTGATACCAAAACCAGACAAAGATACTACAAAAAAAGAAAATTACAGACCAATATCACTGATGAATATAGATGCAAAAATCCTCAACAAAATACTAGCAAACAGAATCCAACAACACATTAAAAGGATCATACACCATGATCAAGTGGGATTTATCCCAGGAATGCACGGATTCCTCAATATATGCAAATGAATCAATGTGAGACACCATATTAACAAACTGAAGAAAAACCATATGATCATCTCAATAGCTGCAGAAAAAGCTTTTGACAGAATTCAACACCCATTTACGATAAAAACTCTCCAGAAAGTGGGCACAGAGGGAACCTACCTCAACATAATAAAGACCATATATGACAACCTACAGCAAACATCATTCTCAATGGTGAAAAACTGAAAGCATTTCCTCTAAGATCAGGAACAAGACAAGGATGTCCACTCTCACCACTATTATTCAACACAGTTTTGGAAGTCCTAGCCACGGCAATCAGAGAAGGAAAAGGAATAAAAGGAATACAAATTGGAAAAGAAGAAGTAAAACTGTCACTGTTTGCAGATGACACGATACTATACATAGAGAATCCTAAAGATGCCACCAGAAAACTACTATAGAGCTAATCAATGAATTTGGTAAAGTTGCAAGGATACAAAATTAATGCACAGAAATCTCTTGCATTCCTATATGCTAACAATGAAAGATCAGAAAATTAAGGAAACACTTCCATTTACCATTGCAACAAAAAGAATAAAATACCTAGAAATAAACCTACCTAGGGAGACAAAAGACCTGTATGCAGAAAACTATAAGACACTGATGAAAGAAATTAAAGATGATACAAACAGATGGAGAGATATACCATGTTCTTGGATTGGAAGAATCAATATTGTGAAAATGACTATACTACCCAAAGCAATCTACAGATTCAAAGCAATCCCTATCAAACTACCAATGGCATTTTTCACAGAACTAGAACAAAATATCTTAAAATTTGTATGGAGACACAAAAGACCCCAAAGAGCCAAAGTGGTCTTGAGGGAAAAAAACGGAGCTGGAGGAATCTGACTCCCTGACTTCAGACTATACTACAAAGCTACAGTAATCAAGACAATATGGTACTGGCACAAAAACAGAAACACAGATCAATGGAACAGGATAGAAAGCCCAGAGATAAACCCATGCACCTATGGTCAACTAATCTATGACAAAGGAGGCAAGGATATACAATGGAGAAAAGACAGTCTCTTCAATAAGTGGTGCTGGGAAAACTGGACAGCTACATGTAAAAGAATGAAATTAGAACACTCCCTAACATCACACACAAAAATAAACTCAAAATGGATTAGAGACCTATATGTAAGACCAGACACTATAACACTCTTAGAGGAAAACACAGAACACTCTTTGACATAAATCACAGCAAGATCTTTTTTGATCCACCTCCTAGAGTAATGGAAATAAAAACAAAAATAAACAAATGGGACCTAATGAAACTTAAAAACTTTTGCACAGCCAAGGGAACTACAAACAAGACGAAAAGAGAACCCTTAGAATGGGAGAAAATATTTGCAAATCAATCAACGGACAAAGGATTAATCTACAAAATATATAAACAGCTCATGCAGCTCAATATTAAAAAAACAAACAACCCAATCCAAAAATGGGCAGAAGACCTAAATAGACATTTCTCCAAAGAAGACATACAGATGGCCAAGAAGCACATGAAAAGCTGCTCAACATCACTAATTATTAGAGAAATGTAAATCAAAACTACAATGAGGTATCACCTCACACCAGTTAGAATGGGCATCATCAGAAAATCTACAAACAACAAATGCTGGAGAAGGTGTGGAGAAAAGGGAACCCTCTTGCACTGTTGGTGGGAATGTAAATTGATACAGCCACTATGGAGAACAGTATGGAGGTTCCTTAAAAAACTAAATCTAGAATTACCATATGACCCATCAATCCCACTATGGGCATATACCCAGAGAAAACCATAATTCAGAAAGACACATGCACCCCAATGTTCACTTCCGCACTATTTACAATAGCCAGGTCATGGAAGCAACCTAAATGCCCATCGACAGACGAATGGATAAAGAAGACGTGGTACATATATACAATGGAATATTACTCAGCCATAAAAAGGAACGAAATTGGGTCATTTGTAGAGACGTGGATGGATCTAGAGACTGTCATACAGAGTGAAGTAAGTCAGAAAGAGAAAAACAAATATCGTATATTAACGCATATATGTAGAACCTAGAAAAGTGGTACAGACGAACCGGTTTGCAGGGCAGAAATTGAGACACAGATGTAGAGAACAAACGTATGGACACCAAGGGGGGAAAGTGGCAGGGGAGGGGTGGTGGTGGTGTGATGAATTGGGAGATTGGGATTGACATATATATACTAATATGTATAAAATGGATAACTAATAAGAACCTGTGGTATAAAAAAATAAAATAAAATTCAGAAAAAAAAAGCAAGGGGAAGTGAAGACAGAGATAAGAATACAGTGAGTAAGAAGGTAGGGACCTCCTGCAGTTTAATACCAAGGGCAATATTTTAGTCCTGAGCCTCCTTCTGTGTTTTCCTTTTCTTCTTTTTTGCCAGCTGCTAGGACAGGCCTCCTTCTTGGCTTTTCCCTGCCAATTCTTTCTACCTCCAACCGGGAAGTACAGCCACTGATCTACTGTAAAACAGAACTCAGTCCCACAGTTTTCTCACTACCTGCCTGCTCCTATGATGAACAGAACATCTTTCTGAGGTTTCCTAAATTTATTTTTGCTGAATCTCTTGAAAGTTACTTGTATACATCATAACACTTTACCCCAAATATATATTCTTCAAAGTGAAGAAACTTAATATCAGTACTATTAAATAAACGTATATAGACCATATTCAGATTTCCCTGACTTCCCCAAAAGGTTCTTTATAGCTTTCTTCTCCCAGATGAGGAGCCAATCAAGATTTACACACAGCACTGAGTTTCATGTATCTTTAGACTTTTTGTCTTCCATGATATTGCTATTTTCTAAGAGTCTGAACCAGCTGTTTTATAAAATATCTTTCAATTTGCATTTGTCTGATTGTTTCCTCACCTACAGAGTGTTCTTGCCAAAAATGATTAATCATGACTAGAATCAGGTTAAATATTTGGCAAGAGCAACATATAGGTGACATGTCGCTTACAATTCATCACATGACAGCAGTTTGTCCCTTGGTGATAGGAGTCAGGACTTAGTAAAAGCAGTATCTCCTGGTTTCCTCTTTGTAATTAATAAGTAAACTGTGGATCAGATTGTGTGAATATTGTTCCCTAGTAGTTTTTCATCTAATGATTTTAACATCCATTGATGATTCTTGACTGGATTATTATTATAATGGTTGTAAAGTCTAAACTTTTAAAAATTATTAAAAACAGTGAGATAACAGGCAAACTTGGGGAAAAAAATAATGGTGAATTATAATTCTTAAACTAAAACAAAAAACTCACAATAAAATTTACATCAGGTATTCTCTACAACAGTAATAAAATGCCAGTCAGAGAACTTTTTGTTATCATCAGCAAAGAAAACCTGCGCCAGAATGAAAATCAAAGCACTGCTTCCTTCACTGAGAATGTCTTACACAAAAAAAAGTCAGCTGAACTAAACAGTTGTGCTTAATGACATTAATATTTGCATTCGGGTTCAAGCTCTACATCTCCTCAGAGCTGAGTAACAAACATTTCCTAGACAGGCAACTTGTCCAGGGGACCACATTGTGAAATATGCTTCTTCTCTCTATAACCATATTTCATCTTTTCTTTTTAAACCCTACTCTCTCTACTTTTAATTCTAGGGCTGATGCTCCAAAGTCCTTCCTTCTATAACTAAGGTTCCCTATTGTATGCAATTTCTCTCTTTTCACTTAGACAAGGTAAGAGGAAATAAGGCCTCAAATGATAAGAGGTAATCTCTGAATTATAAGTAAAAAAATCTAGGAGGGCATAATCTTTTTATGTATTCAGGAAAGAAGTAGACTCACTATCTATTTTTTCCCCCTTCTGCCCAACAGGGTATTATACGCACTTCTTCACCATGGTGTGGGTGGGCAAGGAACAGAAGGGCACTAGAAATGAGCAGATAAAATTGCGAAGGGGAGAAGAATAAAAAAATTGGGATTTACCCTGCTCTTCTACCTTCCCATCCTCCTGGCCTTCCTCCAAAGATCCCTCCAGAGGGGAGAAGTGGTGTCCCATTAGGGGCTGTATGACAGGGAAGGAAAATTCCAACCAATAGCTCTTTTGGTCACTCTCTAAGAAGCAATTCATATGTAAGGAATGTGTGTCTGCTGTGAACTACTTATATACCAACATCATGGCATAAGAATCCTTTAGGAGATTTAACTAAAATCGGATTCTTTTAATCTCTCTCCCAACTGCCTATCATTAGCACAGTCTACAGCAGAAAGAGATTAATAGAAAACTAATTCTTTAATCTGCTCACTACTTTCTAATTCCTAAACACCTAAGCCATTTACAACAACCACATTAGATCCCAAGAATTTCTTACCATTTTTGCTTTCCTTCAAAGTCAAAGAAGCTTGGTTTAGGAGTATTGCAATTTCCAACTCTGACCTAGATCAAGCGGGAGGGGGGGTAAAATCAAGAACTTATTTTTCAAAGAAATGTCAGAGAAACTAATTTTTAAATCTATTATGTATACTTCATAACTATAGGTTAGAAAATATCTGCATCATATAAAATAACAAAATTTAACATGCTTTGCAAAAGCAAACCAAAAAACAAACTTTAAATACAGGCTGCTTTGGCTTACTGCATAAAAAAACTGTTATCTAACAGTGTAATACATTAAAAAAAAAAAAGGGTGACAGTGCATTCCTAAATTAGTAGACAAATTATATATATGAAACAAATTATAAATATAGATTATGCAATCCTTATTACCATTTGTAATGTAGAAGAATTTTTAAACTTGCAATAAACAAGCTTTAAAGTACAGTTTATCAGAATTCATCATACCGTCTGTCTGTGTTGATTCTCGTAACACTATCAGCATTTTATCTCTCTCAAATTCCAGGATAAAGCACACTATTTTTAACGTGCCCTATTATGAAACTAGTCAACATAAATTTAGATGCTAAAAGCCACACAAAAAAAATTTCAAGGTTTCTCAATAATATAAATTCTATTTATTCCACAATAATCTTCTCTTGTTTGTGCTCAATACTTATTTTTAATCCTCAAACATTTGTAGTTAAACTACACAGTAATTATTTTCATTGTGAATAAGCATAAGTGAAATTCACACAACTGTAGAATTCACTACACAGCTCGATTCCCACTGTCAGCAGTAATCTCCCTTTCTGATGAACCCTCACAGCACTTACTCTATACCTCTCTGATGGCACTTTTCACTTTTACCTTGTGTTAGCAAGGTTTGTGTAGTCTCATCTTACTATTAGAATATAGCCTCTAAAAAACCATTCTTAAGTCGCTCATTGCACATAACATAGTGTCTAACTTAAGGCAGTAAAAAAATGTTTGTTGCATATAAAATGAATACATTAGGCATGTGTTCAATAAAATACCTATTTTCCCTAAAGCTAAATACCACAATCTGGACCCCATCTACTTCTCAAAGACTTTCCCACTACCTCCTTCTACTCTTACACACTTGCATTTTGCTAAAATCAAACTGATGGTCTACTCACTAACCAGACTGATCTACTCACTGCATTTAGAATTTTAATTCTATTTTGCTCATGTTATTTCCCTCACCTAAAAAGACTTCTCTTCTCTCAGCTTTTCAAAATGCTAAATCTCCTTGCAGTCCCACTCAAGGTTCAAATTCTAAGAACCCTTTCCACCTACAATGATCTCATCCATCTCTGAGTTCCTAACAACCATCATCTCTATCATTTGCTTAGCCATTAATCACATGGCCCTCTGGCTGTTATTAAAATGTACATTTACACAGGGGCAGCCCGGTCATGATGGGACGGGGGAAGAAATGATGAAAGAGCAGGAGCTGCTTTTCTTGAACAATCACCATAAACCAAAAGTTTCACATATGTATGTCAAATGAGGCACACAACAATCCTGTTAGGCTTGCCATTACAAATTCATTCTATAAATGAGCACAGAGGAGCTCACACATGAGTGAATCTTGAATTAGGAGTCAAGACTTGACTCCAGGACTGTTAGACACCAAAGTCCAATATTACTCTACTATACAACACTCTTTTATATGCCACATAGAATCTAGGCTTCAGTTCTGGCATCTCTAAAATCACTTGAACTACTGTGTTAGAAATATGAAATGAGATAAACTACTAGGCATCATAAAAATAGCAGTTATTACTATTTGTGGTTTTTTTATTCAGACAACAGCCAGTGGCAGAAACAAATACCAGTATCTATCCTTCCTCTCTCTTATGGTAATAGAAGTCTCAGCCGGACACATGGTCATTGAGCTGAACACTACATGTGGCCACGCAACTTCTGCCCAGGTTCGGGGGGCTGGATGTATGTGAAAGTGATATAAATATCTTCCTTAAAAAGAAAGGGGGGCTTGGGGTTTCCCTGGTGGCACAGTGGTTGAGAGTCTGCCTGCCGATGCAGGGGACACGGGCTCGTGCCCCGGTCCAGGAAGATCCCACATGTCGTGGAGCGGCTGGGCCCGTGAGCCATGGCCGCTGAGCCTGCGCGTCCGGAGCCTGTGCTCCGCAACGGGAGAGGCCACAACAGTGAGACGCCTGCATACCGGGGTGCGGGGTGGGGGAAGAAAGGGGGGCTTGTTCTTACCTTTCCCTCTGCCCTGGCTAGAACATGCGTATGGTGAGCTATCTCTGGCCATGGGAAGAGAATCTTAGGGCAGCAGTTCACAAACCGTTTGGTCTCATAATCCCTTTACACTCTTAGAAACTGATCCCCCCAAAGAGCTTTTGTTTACGTGGGTTATATCTATCAATATTTACCAGATTAGAAATGAAATTTTAAAATATGTATTAATTCATTTAAAAATAATAAACTCATTACATGTTAACATAAATAACAAAAATTTATGAAAAATATATATTTTAAAGCAAAAAAAATTTAGTGAGAAAAGTGACAGTGTTTTACAATTTACAAATCTCTTTACTGTCTGCCTTAATAGAAGGCAGGTGTATTCTACTTCTGCATTCAATCTATTGCAGTATATGCTGTTTTGGTTGAAGTAAATGAAGAAAATTCAACTTCACAGAGATATGTTGTTCGAAAAGAAAAGTATTTTAGTAGCATTTTCAGATAATTGTGGATACTCGTCTTTGATATCACACCAAAACTAAACAAGTGGCAGTTTCTTTAAGGTTAATTGCAATGTGGAATCTGAAGTGATACCAACAAATTTTTCACACTGTTACATTAAAATCCATTGGTCTGACCTGCACTTTCAATGTATCTTTTATCCACACGTAATTTGTAACCTCACTCCCTGAAATATTTGAAAAAACAGTTCACTGAGTTCCGCAGATCTTCCAAATGGCACAATTCATTATACATACAATACCGGAAGTTCACAATCATTAAAACCTCCACTAATCTTATCAAAAACGTTTTTCAGTATTAGGAAGCCGTCAAGATCGGGTGGCAGATACAGATTTTCCAAACTTAATTTTCACTTGAAGGCTCAAATGTTGTCACTGGCAACTAATACTGTCAGTTGTTTTCCTTGAAGTGACAGGCTGACTTCACTCATTTTCAAGAAGCTGTATGCCAAATGCTCAAATCTGAATAAGCACAGTTTATCAGTGAGTTGCTCTGTTAAGTAAATATCATGTTTCATGTGGGTAGCTCAACTTGCAACCAAAAATTACACAGGTGTTTTTCCTCAAAACAACCAACATAATTCAGTATGCAGAAGTATTTTGTGTGTACCCCCATTTCATCACACACAATAGTAAAAAGATGTGTACTCAACAGTTAATACTGAATAAAAATCAAAAATTTTCACTGCTTCATCAAAGACATTTTAAAGTGAAACTGGCCTTTTTTTTTTTTAACTCAGAGTACATAGTGGTTAAAAAAAAATAACTACTAGTACAGTCTGCTGCCACTGCCTTGATTCATGCTAACACATCAGCAGTTTTATCTGCCATGACAGCACAGAAAAAAGGCAAATACAAGCATATCTCGTTTTACTGCACTTTGCTTCATTGTGCTTTGCAGACACTGCGTTTTTCACAAATTAAAGGTTTGTGGACACCCTGTATCAAGCAAGTCTATCGGCACCATTTTTCCAATAGCATTTGCCCATTTCATGTCCCTGGGTTACATTTTGCTAATTCTCCCAGTATTTCAAACCCTCCACTAGCGAAAAGGTTATGAGTCACTGAAGGCTCAGATGATGGTTAGCATTTTTTAGCAATAAAGTATTTTTTAATTGAGGTATATACATTTTTCAGACATAACACTTTTGCACACTTAATGGACTACAGTATAGTATAAACATAACTTTTATATGCATTGGGAAACCAAAACATTCGCGTGACTCACTTTATTGTGCTATTTGCTTTATTGCAGTGGTCTACAACTGAACCCTTGATATCTCTGAGGTATGCCTGTAGTGTCTTGGTATTATTATGAAAATAGTTTTGACTTTATATTCTGTGAAAGTCTGAGGGATTATCAGGGGACCATAGTTTGAGAACTGCTGCCTTGAGGGATGGCTGAACTACAAGATAGACAAAGACTAAGCCCCTGGATGATCACATGAAACAGAAGCACCCTATCAGCCCTAGATCGCCTACCTCCAGACCATTATGTGAGATGAAAATAAAAGTTCAGCAGCTGACCCAGTATCCTCACTGATACAGAAGCTTTTGTATTCCCAAATTCAAAGAATAGTTCTGGATCCACAAAGACTGGGAAAATAAAACTGCAGGATTTTAGGACATCGTAAGTAACAGTTTCCTAATCAGGGATGATGAATCCTAAGCTATGAAACAGTTATAAAATGCAGCACTTTAACAGAGCATCATCTAAACTCTGTTCTCTCTGATATATGTATGATGTATCAGTGCCCCTGAAACAGAATATTTCAACAAAGTTTGCCAATGGTAAATGCCAGTGAATCAAGTGTACCCAGGTTAAAGTAGGAGAACACGCTGAGTATCCCCACCTGTGCTAGTGCTGAAGGTTCCTCAACAGGAGCTTGAAATTTTCATTGTCCTCTAGTTTCACAGGTGTCAATTAGTTATCTTTTGCTGGGAGAGTGCAGGCTAATGCATGCAGGACCAAAAAAACCCTGTTAATTGGTGTGATCTTTCTGAAACTTCACTAAAAGATAATTGTGCAGTCATAGGCTTATCCAAGACTAAAAGAGCTATTATGTTATGTTAGGGCTCTGCCTGAGAAAGTAAGGTTCACATCTCAGCTTATTTTCAGCCTCTTCCTGCTGACAAAATAGAGTGCTATTTGGAATAGAAAATGTAATTATTTTATGATAAAGGTTGATTTTATGAGAAATGTAATTATTTTATGAGAAATTCTGATCCACCATACAGGAATTATATTGGACTTTCAACTTTGTTATTCTATCAAAGATGCTATTTTTAATACTGCCACAGAATTCCGATAAAAACAAAATATTTAGAAGAGATTGATAAACACTGTGTGCCCTAACATATTTAAGTAAGCATAATCTTATTCTCTAATTCTCTAATAATTATTCTCCAATAACGAGGAATTTTATTTCCAGAAACAGAATATCTCTAACCACACTAATGTCAAGAGGGTGAGGAACACACGCCTCTTCCAGACTATCTGGATGAAGTATATTTGAGACAGATGGTTGCCAGCTGACAGGTGACTATAGTTCACTGATGACCCCAATATCAGATATTTAATAATGATGAGGCTAATATCAATAAATATATGTCATAGAAAGAAAAACAATGCTTTTAGGGAATTTGGAGAAAATTAGTCTTATACTGCCCAGAGAATCATCAGTCAGCCATGTTACTGGTCCAAGCGCAATGCTCAATAAATTCTTGTTAAATAACTGAAAGTCTCATTTTAATGTTATTAGGACAGGATAAATGACCAAAGAGAAAACAGATATCCAGGACTTCTGCATGAAAACAAATTCTGAGGCCAATTCAGGCATATTTTCATTCAACACTATAATTTATACCATTTGTTCCTACCAGCTATATCTCTCAGGTCACTTTAACAGATATTCATGAATCTTCAAAAGAAGGTTCATCTCTACTTAGTATATTCAGTTTAAGAATACAGAGGGACCCCACAACATTTTTTTTTTTAAAGAATACAGGGGGAAACAGATACCAAGAGGCATAAAATGGGCTGTTATCCAGAACTTCATTCCTTCCAGTGTTCCAAAGAGCTGGAGTTTTCCTGAACTGTTATTTAACTCTCGTGAGCGATTTTTCACATGCTTAAATCTAAACACCTCAAGTAACTTTATAAGTCTCTTGATGGCAAGTGTCATGATGCTTTTGCTTCTCTGCATCCCCCACAGGCATAACACCCAAGTGTTTTGCCATAAAAGATGCTGAACAAGTATTTGTCGATTATGATAAAGCAATTATTTTTCTAACCCAATTACTCTTTGAGGATAAATTAAAGATGTCTCATATGACATTATTATTATTATTATTTCCATACTTCCAGGTAATCTTTGAAGCCTTAGAGTTCTCTATGACCCTAGGCAAGTTATCTCCTCTCTCTGGGTTTCCTTATTCCTAAGAGAAGGGCATTATTTCATCTGGTGTTTTCTAGCTCTAAAATTTTCATAACTGTATCTAACACAAGCATATTCAGCCAAAACATAAGTCTAAGATATTTAGGGTTAAAAAAAATCACAATAATAAAAGTAGTAATACTTTACTTTGCATTGCATCACCCTCTTTATTACAATCATATTATTCTCAGAAATGTTTTTTTAACATTACTACGTTTACTTCCAAACGACCCTCTGGCAAGAGTGAACGATAAATCTTGTTTTGTAAATGTTCTGAAGCTGGTGAAAGCGTAAGTGCAAGGCCACTAAGCAAGTCAGAGAAGACACAGAAAAACTGTCATTCAGGGTCAGCTAAATATCACTCGGATAGCAGACAGGTCCTTTCCATGTCCAGAATGATGCTAATCCTTACCAGATGATTAAAAAACAACACACACACACACATACAAACTTCATTACACCTAGCCATTAATCAAGCACGTTTACTATCTGTTTTTTGGAGGAAAGAGAAGGCCTGTGGTCGCTCTCCCGCATCCACCCCATCCCTGCGACTTTACCTGCTTGTACCGGGCATACAGGTACAAGAGCTGCTCCCTGCTGGCCCCTTGAACCAGGCCTCGGAAGTGCGCGGCAGCCTTCTCAAACAGCTCTGTCAGCCTCCTGGACGCCTCGGTCTCCGGGCTCTGGAGGGATTCCATATCCACGGAGTCGTCCCCCGAGCTCAGCTCTCCGCCGCCGTCGCCCGTAGTGGCTCCCGCAGGCAGGAATGGCGAAGCCATGTGACCGCCTGTCTTCTTCAGACGGGGTGTGACGCCGGCTTGGGGTCCTGGCCCACCAGTCTCGGTCTTGAACCAGAGCTCAAGTCGGACCCAAGCTCCCTTTCTCGCACTCCTCGCTTAACTCTGCCTCCCTCTCTCCCCCTGCCCTCCCCGGGCGTACGTGGCGGGCTCCGCCACCCTCTGCAGCTCTCCCCCGCTGCCCGGCCTCTTCCGGTACCCCTGGCTAACAGCGCGCTCCGAATAGCTCACGTCCCTCCAGCGGCGCGGCGGGGGTCCGCGAGCAGCACAGCAGGAAGTCCGGGAGAGAAGGAGGCGGGGCGGCGTGGGCGCGGGGCGGCGTGGGCGCGGGGCGGCGTGAGCGCGGGGCGACGTGAGCGTGGGGCGGTGTCAGCGACAGAGCACGCGCCCGGAGCTGCGGCCGGCGGCCTCTTTCTCACTGGGCGGGGGAAGGGTGGGTGGCCCTTCTTTGGGCACCGCCGCTATGTTGCGGGATTCATGCGACCGCGCTGGGGGAACGCTGCTTGGAGAAACAGTCCTCAGTTGTTGAGGTGTCTGTTAATCGTTTCGTTGAAAATACTAGGCCATCGGCGGTGGGGGAAGGAGGCCGTGTATTTGGTAGTGTAGCGATAGAAGCGGAGTTGTGGGAAACTTGGAGCTGAGGACGAAGGTTCCGCCTGCGCCCGCCTTCCAAGGTTAGGTGTCCCGAGCGCCCCAAATGGGCCTCGGATACCTGCATCCATTGCTGGAGAGTTTGGTTCTAACTTGAATAGTGAATGGAAATTTGGGAGATGGGGCCTTCAGCGCCCAAATTGTGTGATTGGTCCAGTCTCTCCGTATCTTGCTTTGCATGCGTCCGTGACCCCCATCTCGCTGAACTTTATGGGACCCCACCCACACCCCAGGGCCCTTAGCGCGGTGCTTCTTCCCAGCTCAGCCTTTGCCACTGTGCTTTGGCAGACCCTGAAAAGTGAAAACAAAAATGTACTACATAGTTCTGCCCTGGACGAACTCAGAAAACTGCAGCAACTATAACGTGATTGTGATAGTGTCAAAGAAAATAGTCAATAACCTGTAATAGGAGTAGAGGAGAGGACTTCCCTGGTGGCACAGTGCTTAAGAATCTGCCTAACAATGCAGGGACACGGGTTCGAGCCCTGGTCCGGGAAGATCCCACATACCACGGAGCAACTAAGCCCTTGCGCCACAACTACTGAAGCCGACGCGCCTAGAGCCCATGCTCCGCAACAAAAGAAGCCACCGCAATGAGAAGCCTGCACAGCAAAACAAAGACCCAATGCAGCCAAAGAGAAATAAATTTAAAAAGAATAGAGGAGAGTTTTATTTGAGCCAAACTGAGGACTGTAGTCCAGGAGTTAGCCTCTCGGTAGCTCTGAGGAACTGCTCTGGAGAAGCATGGTTTTCAGCACAATTTTATGTTCTTTCAGAAGAAAGAACAGCAAACCTGATAAGAGTACATTCCTTCAAAGTTAAAAACAAACAAACAAAGAAACAGATTAGCTTGTACACAGCAAGTTAGTATGGCTTTGGCACCTAGGAAAGGAGCCTTATCATCAAAGGAGTACTAGCATGGATGTCCCAGAAAGGGAGACTTTTATCTCTGTCTTCAGAAGGGACATTCTTTACTTCTGGACAGTGCACTCTTCTTTATTGGTTAGAGCAGATATACAATGCGTGTTGATGGGCTACAAGGCAGGCTGTTCTAGATAGCATAAAATTCAAGCTAAATCAACGTATAAGCTAGAGTGACTTCCCTATACCTCAATATGTGAAAATTTCTTCCATCAATAGTTAAGTTTTACTGAGTGGTTATTATGTCCTAAGTGTTGTTAAAAACAACAACAACAACATTATATTCATTTAGTTCTCAAAACACTGTAATAAGCACCCTCAGAATGGTACAAAGAAAGTGTTCTAAAGAATGGTTATTCACTGTTTGGGATTAGGCTTTAGATAGGTGGACAGGGGAGAAGGGGTAAACAGGGTGAGAGAACAAAGAAAAAAGGCAGGAAGATGAGAAACCTTGGATCAGGATTCAACAAACATTCCTTGAGTATCCCAAATGTACCACTGTTAGTCCCTGCTCTCAGGGCACTCATGGTCCAGTCAAGGGATGGCTGATGAACAAAGTCTCGTAATTAAAAAGTGTTAATAGTAACTTATTGATTCCCTTACTGTTTAAGGGAGTTAATTCTTACTGCTTAAGGTAGGTACAGTTATTTCCAGTTTAGACAGGAAATTAGCACAGCGTGGTTAGGTAACTTGCCCAAGGCTGCACAGTTAATAAGTAGAGAAACAAGGGAAAAATCAAAGTTGTACGTTGTTTTAGTCAGAAATTAGCCTGCCTATGGTGTAATGATAGATGATGAATCTGAAAAGTAGACTGAAGGGAAGGTACATGGACATTTATATATCTCTGTGGAATTTTTATTAGAAATGGGAATTAAGTATTATCAACAGTTTTTTCGGCAGCCCTGGAGATTGTTTTTTCTACTTTAATCTTTTGAAGAAAATATTAATAAAGTTTCTATTTCAATGAATTATATGAACAACGATATTAATAATTAATAGGAACTTAATGAATTATATTAACAAACACTAATAAATTAATATAAATTTTAATGTGTTATGTTAATAGATTTCCTGATGTTGAATTACACTTCTATTCCTGGAATAAACTCACTCTGGTCTTGGTCCTGATTTTTTGTTTGTTTGTTTGTTTTTTAATTATTTCTAGGTTCAGTTTGCTAATATTTTCTTTAGTATCTCTACAGCCCTATTTAAAGATGACTGACAGTTTTCCTTTTTGTTCTGCCCTTTCTCAATTTTGTGTCAGGGTAATAGTAGACCTGTAGAATATATTTAGAAGTTTTCACCTTTTTCTGTATTCTGCAACAGTATAAATAACATGGGAATAGAGCAAGCACAAATCTCATGGCTGGTGGGAGTGTAAATTGATACAACCACTTTGGGAAAATGTTTGGTACTATTTACTAAAGGTAAACATGACCAATTCTACTTCTACCCAGCAAGCATGTAATATATGCATTCATCCAAAGACACGTATAAGAACATTCACAGCAGCACTATTCCTGATCTCCCCAAACTGGAAACACCCAAATAGCCATCAACAGTAATAACAATAAACTGTAGTGCGTTTACACAACAGAATACTATTCAGCAGCAAGAATGAACTAATTTACAATCAGACACAACATATGAATGAATCTCATAAACATAATGTAGAGCCCAGGAAACCTGACAACAAAGAGCTAATTCTGTACGTTTCCATTCATATACAGCTCAAAGTCAGGCAAAATGAATCTATGATGTTAGAAGTCAGGATAGTGAGTAGTCTTGGGGTTAGTAATCTGAAGGGTCCATAAAGGGGGCTTCTGGGTGTTGGCGATGTTCTCTTTCTTGAGCTGAATTCTGCTTGCACAAGTGTGTTCACTTTATGAAAATTCACTTTAAAATTTTGTACTTTTCTGTGTATAAATTATATCTGAATGAAAAATTTAAGAACAAAACAAAAAGAAAGAAAGAAAGAGCTCCTGATATTCAGAAGCTGGTCTAGTACTCACAGCTAAACCATATTATTCTCCTATTAGATAGACATAATCTCATGAAATACCAACCTCAGACAAGGTCACTCTGAGACCATGATAAAATGAGACAAAGTAAAGCACTTCAGAAGTTTGCCTAAGCATAGACAAAAACAAGATCACTCTGCCAACCACAAAGTACCACAAGATACCCTTTCTCTTGGCCACCATGTGTGACTATTACTTATTTGCAAATTATAGCTTTATTCTCATTCTAGTCTTCCCTCTGTATAGATAAGACTGATTGAGATGCCCAATCATAAATTGCCCCAGCTGCCTGACAGCATCCAATAAGAACAAATCTCCAATTCCTTAGATTTCTCCCTCAAGTCACCAACCAAAGCCCAAATCCTATAATAGGTTACTTCTTAACACCTTACTGAGACAGCCCATTGTTCTCCATTTATGTGTTCTTCCTCACTATAGTAAATCCAACTTGGTTACAGGAGCCTGAAGAGCATTAAAGCCCGAGAACGTTTGATTTCTTGACGATTCAATTAAAACACCCAAACTATCAGGATCCGATGACTTAGAGGGAAGAGAGCTTTTACAATCAGTGTTTCCATTCAAGCATTTCTTGGGAACTGTAGGAAACTGTATATGTTTTTCTGAATCTCAAGAAAAATCAGCTGAGAAATCAGGAAGACAGGGGAAAATATTATGATTAGAATAAAAGCTTAAACAATCAGAATTCAAGTTTGACAATCAACATAGAGAAGGTACTGATTCAAAGGGATCCACTGACAAGTCAAAAGCAATAGCAGGATATTGTTAACACCTGGAGTCCAAAGTGAGCCAGGGAAAGGAGCAGGCAGGAGAATATCTAATCAAGATCTAACCAGTCTTCCAGAGTTGCCATTTTACACATGTGTTCGTTGCGCCTGCTGATAACAGTGCAAATGAAATAAATATTAATAAGATTATATGCATAGGCTACTTCATACAGATTCTGTGAGTGATGTTCTGAGAAATAAGTTCTGGAAGCAAAATAAGTCCTTAAACCGGCGGCTTCTTTAAGTGATGCTGAGTATTGCTGCTGTTACCTTTGCTAAGAGATCTGAATGTTAGGTTACTAGGGTACTACCCAACATTGTTTGCCAGCATTTTCCAGTGTTTGTATTCACCAAAGGCTACAGTTCTTTATAAGTACTTTCACAGAGGAAATGCAAAAAGAAGATGTGGATGTTTTTGTGAAATACTCCAACACAACATCCTGAAGGGACCTGAAATCTGAATTAACAGAAGTCACATCTGTCTCAATGGCAAAACCAAAGTCTAGGCAAGCAGAAAAGATATTTTTGTTAAAAATACCTGGATTGAATTTAGTACAATTCACATTTTGTGACATATTGGCATTTTTTTACATTGCCATCAAAATATTCATTAATATGTTAACTCCCAATACGTTTCAGACACAGTACTAAGCCCTAGGATACTAGGATGAATGTGATTATTTTTCCCCTCTCTCACTCTACTCCAGTTACATGGGCCTCATGTGGCTTCTCTACAAACCAGGCATAACCCAGAATACTCCCATCTTAGTGCCTTTTCACTTGCTAGTCCCTCTTTCTGGAACACTTTATCCTCAGATATCTACACACATGATTTGCCCTCACCTCCTTCAGGTCTTTGCTCACATGATACATTAGTCAAAACTTCTTTGACCACCTGTTAAAAATCACAACCCCATCCTCACCATCACTCTCTATCCCCCTTCTTCAGCACTTATCGCCAG